GGGATCTCTTGATAACGTGGGCCACCTGCCTGCAGGAGGTGCCGTGAAGGTAGTGAGTGGGTCCTGGCGGGGACACAGCTGGGGGGTGGGGTTGTGCGGCTGGAGTCTGGGTCCCAGCAGGTGGGCACCTGTCACCGCCCCTCAGTCTCTTCAGGGGTCATGTTTCACCCACACCATTGCTGTTTCCATCGTCTGTCATCAGTCCTGAGCGAGGCAGGAGAGGTGAAGAGGCCCCAGCCCGGTCACCTCTCACCTGTCCAGCTGGAGATGGAACGTTCTCCTGAGAGCCGTGGCCTGCCTTTCTGAGCCCATCTCAGCCATGTTCAGAGGGACAGGGCTGGAGTGCAGGTCCCCACAAGGCCGGGGTCTGTGTGGTACCGTTCTCGCAGCACCTCCTGAGACGGGAGTGTTCGGTACCTGCTCTGTGTCAGGCTCTGTTCTGGGCCTGGGAGCGGAATGGCACATTTTTACTGCCCGTGACAGCAGGCCTGGCATCCACCCCTCTGGAGGCCTGCGCGGGCCGGGCTCTGGAGAGCACTCAGGCGGCAGGCTTCCCATCCTGGTTGGGCCTCTCCTCCCTTCCCTCCCTCTCTTCCCTCTGCGCTCCTTCCACAGTACTGTGAGATCTTTTGTCTGCCAAGATGCTGTCTGTCCTTTGTTCCGTGTCATCGGGTAGCAGGGCCGTGGGGGCAGCGCCTTGCCGGCTTCCAAGCCTGAGGGTGGCTGCAGCTGCTCAGGGAGGGGTGGGCGAGGGAGAGGGGACATGAGCAGTGCTCCGGGCCTTCCCCTGCATCTGACCGCGCAGCGCGGCTCCATCCCAGCCCACACTTTGTCCCACCCACCTCAGTGCTCCGTTCAAGCCCGGACTAGCTCCCTCTGTCGCAGCCTCTCAGGACATGCTCCACACCTTGTGAGGGGCTGTTCTCTGGTCAGCACCCCCGGGGCACTAACTTGGGTGTAGTCACTTGTCCCCGGCCACACGACGGGTGCACGCAGACCAGGGCTCACGCCTGGGCCTTTCTGACCGCAAGTCTTTTCTTTACTCACATCACCTCCCTTTCTTATCACTTCTGGAACTATTTTTCTAACACAGAGGCCCGCTTCTTTCACTGCTCTGATTTTTCCTGTTGTCGCCTTTGGGCGTTCCCAGCACAGGTGTGCCAGCTCGCCAGTGCCTCCCAGCAGCCCTCCCTCTTGTGCTCTGGACTCACACTGGGTGTCCACGGCCACCACAAGGCCTTCCTCGCCAGGCCCCCCCAGTCTCCCTCACACCTCCTTGGACACCTTCTTCCCTCCTGTGTCTCCAGGCCCCAGAAAGATGCCCAGCACAGAGGAGGCCTCTGTCAGGGGCGCATGAATGATGGATACACGGGCAGCGCTGCCCCAGGAATGGCCGAGAAAGCCTCTCCGAACACTCGCATGTGCAGGGAGTGCCCTGGGATCCCTTAGGTCTGAGGTGGCGGCCTGCACCCCTCAGGAACTGGTTCAAGCTCCCGGAGCTCCCTCGCCCTAGTGGCTCCAGACCCACAACTTGAGATGATTCCTTAGCTTTTTTGCTAACAATCTGCTGTCATAAGTGTTGTGATCTGGCATCAGCCTTGTTGAGAAGCCAGGCACCTTTCACCTCTCATGTCAGAGGCTTCACGAAGCCTTTCGTCTCCCAGAGGAGGCTCTCAGAGCATGTCACTAGCCAGGCTGCACTGCTTTACTGCCCCAGAGCCTGAGTTCTTACCCAGCACCCTGCCACCCAGGCCAGGAGTTGGTCTGGCGGGGGGGGCGGGGGGGCACCTGGTCTAGACTCCCAGGTGACTGTACCTTGAGCCAATGGGGAGCAGCAACAGCGGGGGTGGGGACTGTGTGTGAAACCCACCACCATCACCATCCCACGCCCTCCCCGACTGACCCTGCACTGTCTCCCCCACTGTTTCATTTGTAGACTGAGGGCGGTGGCAGCGAGGCCCCTCCGTGTCCGGGCCCCCCAGCTGGGGAGGAGCTGGCCATCCCTGAGGCAGCGCCTGAAGCTGGCGCCCCCACTTCAGCCAGTGGCCTCAGTGGCCACACCACCCTGGCAGGGGGTGGTGACCAAAGGGAGGCCCAGACCTTGGACAGCCAGATCCAGGAGACAAGTAAGTGGCTGGGCTCGGCCTAAGGGCCAGCCAGGGGCCCTGCCACTGGCTGCAGATTGAAACTCCTTTGTTTTCCTACCGGAGTGTGGCCTGAATTTTAACGAAGCAACCTTTTATTTTCCAGGCATCTAATGATGACATTCTGGTCTCGTCTTCCGTCCCCCGTGTTCCCCTTCTTGTCTCCCCCGTCACCCTCTCCCTTCCCTCCTCCTGTGTCACTGCAGATTGAGACCTACAGGCTGACGTTCCGGGCAAACGCCAGGGCCCGCACCGACCACGGGGCCGACATTGTCTCCCGCCCCCCTCCACTTCCCTGGCGGCCCCAGCTCAGGCACCTGGGCCCCTAGCTCCCTCTCCCGGGCTGCCCTCTAGGCCCCTCCCTCCCTCCCTCCCTCCTGCCTCACTTGCCCAGGGTGGCAGCAGCCCCACCCCCGTGCTCCCTCCACTCCCGGCCCCAGACCCGGCTCCCTGCTTGACTCCCCCGTCCTCACCATTGCGCCGCTGCTCCGCGGAGAAGGTTGGGTGGAAAGTGGGGTAGGGGAGGCTAGTTCAGGACCTCCTGGGATCTGGGTGGGGGGAACCGGAGTCCAACCTCCTCTTTGTTTGGTTTTTTTGGACCAAACCCAAGAGAAACTGACATACCCTCCCTCCTCGCTGGTCCATCTGGAGGGAAGAGTGGAAGTGGACGTCCCCGTGATGGCTGGGTGCTAACTGCGTACCCTGAAGCCTGCTAAGCCACTGCCTCTTCCTTTGACCCCACAGTGGTGCCCACCTCACAGGTGGCACCAGGCACCTCTTGCTGCCCTCCCCCAAGTTAGTCAGGGGCAATGCTGCCTGTCCCCGCTGCTTCCCATACCTACCTAGCTGCTGTCACACTTTTATCTTTTTTTTTAATAACCTGAAAACCGGTGGAGTAGTTTTGCAGGTTGAAGCCATGTCTGAATGAAAGTCGTTGGTAGGTGTTAAAGGAAACAGGGAAGGGAGATCCTGAAGCCTCCAGCTGGGAGGTGAGGCATTGGAGGCTGCCCTGCCTTGGGCAGCTTGGGGCCCCGGCCCCGGAGGTGGTGTGGGCAGGGCAGGTGCAGTGGGGGGCTGTGGGCTAGAGGGCAGGCAGGGACCGCTAGGGGCTGGTCAGAGTGTGGACTGGTGGTTCTGGCATTTTGTGTGTATGCTGCTTTTCTTTTCTAACCAAGAGGCTGGTTTTGGCATCTATGTCTGTCTCATTCCCTGGGATCTGGTGGGAGACAAGGTCGGGCTGGAAAGGGCCATGGAGGTCAAATTCCTCCTAGCCTCCAACCTAGGACACTCGAGCCCTCAGTTGCCAGGGAGCCTGATGTGTTCAGAACTCATGTGGATAGTGGGGAATCAAGTCTGGAAATTTAAAAATAAGTACATGAGATGGGCCATCCAGGCTCCCTTACGGCCTGACTGGAGAGGGGAGAGAGGAGAGGAGAGGCCAGCCTAAGGGGTGTGTCCTGGTTAGGCCTGGTCTTGGGATGGCTGCAATGATAAGTCCCGGGAATTGTATTGACACGAAGATTCTTATTGCACTTGTACTTTTTGTATTAAAGTTTGCATGGTTTCTAATAAAGGATTAAAACGTAACAGTTTGTAGTGAAATGGCCTGGGAGTCTCCAAGGCTTCTCCTCTGGAAGAGCATTTTCTGCAGTGCAGACTTGGCCCCTCACACTCCCCACCTCCTCCTCTGGCATCCCTTGGCGCTGAGAAGGTGGGAGCTGTTGACCTAGGATCAGATTTGAAGTCCATGTAGAGGGAGGGTGTCTGGGCTGGGCAGGTGCTCTCCCTTTCTGAGGTAGCATTTTCTCCAGGGAGGTTCGACACCATCTCCCCAGCTCCCCAAGCACATACCAAGAAATTGCAGGGGTCTTGTGGAAAAAGCACTCCCAGGGCCAGAGACTGTCCACACAGTGCTTCAACGGCGCCAGGGACATCAGGGCATCCGTGTTTTGTCTGCAAGAAAGGGTGAGATGAAACTGGGAGAACGCAGTGGGAGGTGGGGTGCCAGATGCAGTGGGGTGACAGTGCTGGGCCTAAAGGTACCTGCACCTGTGTTGATGCTGGGGTGGACAACAAGCTCTCGGTCCTTTTACTCCGTTGGCCAAAGGTAGGGGTGGGAGAGGTGACCCCGGCGGAGAGCACTCTAGGGGGCGCTGGAGTGGTCAGTGTTCTGAAAGGTGGTTTGGGCACAGCTCCCTTGAAGGGTCCCACAAGCCAGAGAAGCTGAGAAGGCCGCCCTGACAGGTGGGACCAGAGGCCCTGTGTGCTGTGTTCTATTCTGCAGCTGTTGGGGCTGGAACGTTTCTGTACTTCCCCATTTGCTTATGGCTCAGCCGTTAACCATGTTGATCTGTGATTGTTGTTATGATTTCCAGAACAAATAAAGCTCGTATGTCCCACTACGCAGGCCCTGTCTTCTGTATACGTCCTGGTTGTCTACGTCTTCAGCATCCGAGGCCCCCACAGCCCCCAGCTTGTCCCCTCGCATTGAGGGACTGGGGTGCAGCGTGCAGTCTTGACCTCAGCCCCTCGTCTGTGAATCTGTGGCTGTGACCAAAGGTTAAGGCTGCTTGTGGAACTTCTCCCTCCCCCATTTGCCTGGGTTAGCAAGTGACAGCCAGCCAGAGAGGATCCAGGCTGCGGGCCCTGCTGCACGCGCAAGGACACTGCCTCCCACCGCGGCTGTGACAAAGACGACTAGACTGGGCCAAGCAGCACAAGCCAAGAACCCGCATGAGTGGTTCAAGCTCCTGAGGGCTGGGTTCCAAGCCCCTTGCTCTCCTAAGACTTTGGGGCCCTCCCTTCTGAGTCTTCACTCTTCCTCTTGGTTTGGGGAGCCCCAGCGGATAGCGATGCTCACAAGGGATAAATAGAACTTTATTTTAAATAAACATTTGCACTCTGTACATGGCCCCAGCGGAGACGGGGCTTAGTCGTCAGCTGTCTTGCGCACATCAAAGCTGCCACAGGGCCCGCGCAGCAGCTCCGCCAGCAGCGCAAGCAGCTGCCCGTGCTCCTCCTGCACGCAGGGCGGCAGTGCAGCCAACTCGCTGCGCAGGCTCCGCTCCACCATGCGGCCCAGGGCCCGGCGCAGCTCCCGCAGCAGCCGCACAGTGCGTGAGTCGCCCTCCAGCCGCAGCAGGTCGCTGTCACTAAGGGAGATGGTGGCCCGGCGCCCATCATCTAGAGGAAGGGAGAGACGCGGGGAGCCCGGGTGAGTGAGGCCGGACCCCTGAGGAGGCAGAGCAGCCGGAGAAGCGGTGGGGCAGGAGGTGTGCAGGTACCCACCACGGATGTGGACGTCCCCGTCGGTGAGTAGCAGCACAGCTAGTGGGTGCACCTGGGAGGAGTCCCGGACAAAGACGCTGCCGTTGGACTTAACAGCCATGAAATACGTCAGCCATCGGCTCCGTAGCCGTGTGGCCTCCCTAGGGAACAAAGAGCTGAGTGAGGCCCCTTGCTGAACCACCCGAGCTGCCCTGCCCCAGCCTGACAGTCCCCCACCTGTTAATGGTCGACTTGTGCAGCAAGATGTTGCCGGATTTGGTCCTATACGTGACACTGTTGGGCTTGAACTTGCCCTGCCGGGTCACCTTGCCCTGCCTCACCTGCAAGGATGAAGGAGAAGGTGGGTGGGTTGAGCAAGGAGCTGGGATGGAAGGAGAGGTCATGGCCTGGAGCCCCCTCCCCAGGGCAGCACCTGGATGAGGTTGGGGTAGAGACCCGCCATCAGCACACCCTTCACCAGCTCTTCCTCCTCACTGTACTCGTTGCACTGGGCAGAGGCCAGGGTGCAGTCCGAGGGCTTCCCCACCAGGAAAGCCTCATAAATGTTCTCTGAGAACTGCTTGATGAGTCCTGGGGAGGCAAAGTCAGGGTGAACCTAGGGCCCCTGGTTCACAGCTCACTGTGCACCGGCTCAGTGCGAGTGGGAAGGGTGGAGGGGCTCAGGGCAGCTCGGGACCCGCTGACCGTGGATGAAGCGCAGGCTGGGCGCATAGAGCAGGTTTTCCTCCAGGTAGTTCTCACGAGAGCTGCGGTCCTGCCAGCGCAGCACCTCCTCCCAGCCAGACACAGCCCGCACGAACGCCAGGTGGTCGCTGCCACTGTCGTGGCTCAACAGTGCCTTCACCTGGGAGGGGAGGCAGGTGCCAGGGTCACAGGGCAGGGACCAGAGGAAGCCACCTCGGGACCGAAGGGAGCAGAGGGCCGGAAGGGAGAACAGAGGGCCACGCAAAGGCATTGGGTCTGACCTTGTCCACCTCCGCCCGGTTCTGCAGGCTGCTGCTGAAGGGGTCCCGGGTGAGGCAGGAAACGACCACTAGCAGCGGGTGCAGGCAACGGAAGATGGCAGCCAACACTATGGCCTTGGCCAGCCGTGGGTCAGTGGAGATGTGGGCCAGGCGCTGCCCCAGAGTGGTCAGGTACTCCCGCTGGTCCAGCACCCCTGCAAGCTCAGCCGTCAGTCCCGCCCCTGACAGCCATTCCGCAGCCCGGCCCAGCCCTGCACCACTCACCGATCTCCTGGAGCAAGATCACGGCCTCGTCCACCGCCTTGATGTTTGGACTGTCCACGGCCTTGGAGAGAAACTCCACTGCCTACAGCACGAACGAGGCAGAGCCTGTTAGCCCGCACCCCACCTGCACGTTCCCAGGGCCCACTCCGCCCACCTCTGCCGCACCGTCTTCTCTGGCATGTGGATCTTGGCTTGCAGCACCAGGTTCTCAAGGGGCGTGCGCAGGATCTCCGGCACCTGGAAAGGGGCCATCTTCTCCAGCCGGCTCCGCGGGAACAGGTGGTAGGCAAAGCCTGACTGGCAGCGGCCCGCCCGGCCCCGGCGCTGGATCACGTTGGCTCGTGACACCCACACGGTCTCCAGGCAGGACACCTGGGGGAGGGGGCAGGTGAGCAGCCACACAGACCACACGCCTTCCTCCATGCTCCCCTGCGCCTGGCCTTCACCTCACTCAGCTCCTCAACTGCCCCCCACAGCAGGGACAGGGAGATCCCACAGGTGTGGCCTTCTCCAGACACACAGGCCCAGGGTAGATCTGGGCTGGGGCAGGGCCAGGAGATGGGTGCCACCTTGGTCTTCAGGTCGTAGCGTTCCTCCTTGTGCAGACCGCTGTCCACCACGTGCACAATGTCATTGATTGTGATGGAGGTCTCAGCAATGTTGGTGGCCAAGACAATCTTGCGCACGCCAACGGGAGGCTGCTGGAATATGGCCTTCTGGTCCATCATGGGGATGTTGGAGTGCACTGGTGGGCAGCAAGAACACACTGGTCACGGGCACTGCTCCAGCCAAAACCTCCCCATATGAGGGCAGGCAGGGATTTTGACCCTATTTTGATGAAACTGAAGTCCAGATCAGTAATATGCCCAGTAGAGGTCACAAAGCCAGCAAAAAAGTAGTGCAGCCTATTAAGAAACCCAAGGCCCTGAGCCCCAGGTGAGTCACTCCCCAGGACAGAGGGCAAGCCTGGTGTTAGGGGCCACCATCCTTGCACACATGCTCTCACCTGGCAGGATGAGGTACTTGCTCTCATGCATGCCCAGGGCCTCCTGGAGGCGTTGCTGCACTCCTTTGATCTCCTGCCACCCAGGCAGGAAGCAGAGGATCCCACCTGTAAAGGGCCCTGCAGGCATGAGCTAGTGGCTCCCGGCAGATGGGAGAGCAGGGTGGGCACGGGGCAGAGAAAAAAGCACCCACCTGGTTCCCCGCGGGCATCAATGTGCAGAACCAGATCAGTCACGAGGTCCAAATCGAGAGCGCATTCATCCTCAGACTGGGGTGGGGGAAGAGAGGCCAGTCACAGCCCCGGGGCCAGGGGTCGTGCACAGGACACGGCCACCGCGACTCGGTGAGGTCAAGGCACGTGACACATCACCTCCAACCCTCACCACACCCTTGTCAAGAAGGCCTGATCATTCCCATTTCTAGCAAGGAAACCAAGGCTTGGGAAGGAGAAGGGGAATCCATGGAGAAAAGGCCAGGAGCCGTGGGCAGGACGGGGCGGGCGTATCCCCTCACCTCGTGGTGCCGATGCCGGTGTGGGTACTGGTGCTTGCCCAGCTTGGCCAGGATATCCTCCAGGTAGTGCTCCTTGACAGGGTACATGAAGCCGGGCACCTTGATGACAGGGCAGCCACCAAAGTAGCGGGAGAAGCGCTCGTTATCACCTGTGGCACTCATGAGCACCAGCCGCAGGGCCGGGTTGAGCCGCTGCAGGCCCTTGAGCAGAATCAGCAGGAAGTCCGTGTTCACGTCCCGCTCGTGCACCTCGTCCACGATTACATGGCTCACGCCCTCCAGGCTGGGGTTGCTCTGCAGCTTCCGTAGCAGGATGCCCACGGTACAGAACAGCAGAGCCCCACCTCGGGCTGGAGGCTTGCTTTCCAACCGCACCTGGAAGCCCACGTTCCGGCGCAGGGAGGGGCCCAGTTCGTGGCTGACCCGCTGTGCCACGGACACAGCCGAGATGCGGCGCGGCTGAGTGATGATCACGTTGCAGCGAGCACCTCGGCCCTCGGTCACGTAGCGCTCCAGCAGCAGCTGGGGGATGCGCGTGGTCTTCCCACAGCCCGTGTCCCCGGCGATGACCACCACCGGGTGCTGCTCGATGGCACTGAGGATGGTGTCCCGATGAGGGTCCACAGGGAGCTGGGGGGCCTCCTGCCAGACCGGCCCTCGCCGCCGCCACAGCTCCAGCAGGCTCTGGCTCAGACGCAGCTCCTCTGTTTCTGACAGGGGCATGTAGGGCTTGCCTGTGATAGGGTCACCCAGCGGCCCCGAGTCCTTGCCCAAGGGCAAGATGTCATCACTCTGCAGCCGGAGCTCTGGGGAGATCCATGAACTGTCCATGGGGTACTGGAGGACGAGAGAGGCAAACAAAATGGTGAAGAGAAATAACTTCTTCTCATTTACCCACAGCCAGCCAGCCCCTCCACACAATTCACCTTGGCCAGAAGCTATGGCCCACCCGCCGGGCAGGACTCAGTCCTCAACTGCCCTGGGACCCTCGTGGGCAAGACAGGACTGCTCAGGGCAAAAGTGTGCCCAGGCTCCATCCCCAGTGGGGAAAGCGGGGAGTCACTACCGCCTGCTGCAGGTGAAAGCTTTTGGTCTGGGTAGATGAAGGCGGGCAGGTGAAGAGGAATGTGGGGATTCTCTTACGTGGTTTAGGAAGGTCTCTATCTTGCGGAGGATGGGTTCAGGCACCTGGATGGTACACGGCCGGCGCTGGGTCTCACCCAGCTCGCGCAAGGAGGCCAGGTTATACATGGCGTGGGTGAGCGGCTCGTTGTTCCGGTCCACCAGGCCCAGGCTCTGCAGAGGGAACACGGGAGGCTGGTCTATGCCTGTCTCCCCATAACTGGCCCAGACCTGCTCAGGAGCTTTAGAGAAGTCGTGCAGAGCAACCTCTTTTCTAAGACATTTTTGGGTTTGGGCCAATATGGTGCAGGAGGGAGAAATTAGGAACCAGGAAAATGTTAGGTCTCCACCAAAAAAAAAAAATGTTAAAAATGATTCAAGCAAAACCAGACCTGGCGTGTCTGAGTGTTACAGCCCCCACCCGCACAGACGGGCGCCGCAGAGAATCCTCTCCCCGAGCAGCCAGAGTCCCCACAGCAGCCCAGGCTCACCTCCGTGAATCCCCACCTGAGACAGGCGGGCCAGGCCCTGAGCCACCCCGGAACCCAGTCGCAGGCTCCTGTGCCTTCGCTGCCCGCCCACCCCTGCCACATTTCACGTCCAGCTGCCACACCTCCACCTGTCTCTGCATGACACCCAGTCCACCGTACAAACGTACACGGAAGTTCCCGGAAATACATACTTATGCACCTTGATAAAATAAACCACTGGAAGGGAAACTCTCTGTTTTATTTCCCTATATGCCCAAAGCCACCCACCAGAAATAAGACAAAGCATTCCAACACATTGGGCAAATGTGGAAAACCAGTCATTTTCCCCTATAGTCTTTCATGTCCGGATTCCGCACACCCTCCAAAACCCAGAGCAAACACTCCCTCCTTTAAGAAGTCTACCTGCACAGGGACCAATCCCCTTCCCCAGCCTCCTCGTGCCAGAACAGAAGAGGTGCCAACAGGGCCACCTTGCTGCAGGGGAGCCCTCTGTCCTTTCCCAGGACTGTGAGAATTTACCTACAGCCTCTCTGACCGTGGGCAGTCAGCTGCTCTCAGAACACTGCTGCCACCTAGAAGCTTGCTCCTTCCTGAGACAGGCCTCTAACATGCTGAGGGTCGTCTTCTCATCACTTTTTTGTCTGTTTGTTTTTGTTTTTTGTCAATGCATTTATTTTTCAGTTTCAATCTGTAATGGTTGCTTAATAAAACCAGTCAACGAAAAGTGATTTTTTGGGGGACAAATGTGGACATTAGCAGACTGAACAGTGGTGACAGGTGCAATCTTATTCCAACGTTAGTTTTCACAAATTTGAATTAAATACTCCCAGGACAGTGGAAATACCCTCCTAAAACAAGAGTTCTCAAGTTCATCACTGTTTTTGTCTATCAAATTAAAATTTAGACTTCCTCGAAGTTCTCCCAGTTAGCCCTAGTTCTGTCCTCTTGAGCCACAGGTAATGACACATCCATTCCCTCTCACCACTTACCTGAACCCATCCCTCTTCAGTTCTCCAGGATCTTGGTACCCCTCACTATCAGCTCTATCTAAAATTCAGTTCCCAGAGCCAAATGTACACCAAAGGTATATCCGACCATTCAGAGTAAAACAGGGCCTCCTTCCTCTCTTATTCTGCAAACCAGACCCCCACGGGTTCAGGTAACTCCCACAACTGGGCTATCAGCTGACCTCCAAAGCCGCTTCAAAGTGATTGCTAGCTGTAAGCCCCACTGCCTTCACCTGGATGTTGATCCCTTCAATATTCATCCTAGATGAACGTCGCGTGGTTTGTTTTGGCCACAAAGCCCAAGTTATCAAGATCTTTCTAGATACCAAGTCTGTCCCTCAACAAAGACATCATTTCTCCAGCTCCATACCATTCAGAATGGTAAGCATGTCTCCTCCTGGCTTCACCCAGGTTCCAGCCAACAGTGCTGAAACGGCTGAGCTCACGGGCAAAGCACCTCCACAGGGACTGTGGAGAAGCCCTGGAAACAGCACCCCACAGCCTGAGAGCAAGGCTGGGACACCAGATACTTAATGTGCCCAGGCCAAAAGCCTGGCAGTGGTAGATTTCATTTCCTGGAAAAGTGGACCATTTGCCAAGGGTAGCAGGGAGCTCCAAGACATCTCATGCATCACACCAGGGACCTTGCACTCACCTTCAGTTTCTTACAAGCCAGGGCTGCCGCCTTATTCTCTGCCTCTGCTTTGCGACGCCCTTTGGCGACAAAGGTCATGGGACAGGGCCAGAGTAGGGTGAGGGTGGACAGCTTGGTCTTGGTGCCCACAGTATGGAACTGCATGAGGTTCTACACAAAGGGCAAGAGAGATGGTTACAGAAAGTTAGGGAATGAAAACATCCAGGAGTTCGCAGAATATCAAGGGACACAGAGATGGATTTAACCCCCATCTGAGCAGGTACCAAGCATCAGCCACAAAAGAAGTGCCACTGAACAGGCAGAAGCCAGCCCTGTGGGGCTGCAGCTCCCAGATCCTGGCCTTGCTTCTCCTGTGGTACCATGATTTCACAGCAGGGAATGGCATCTGGGCAATGCCACTACCTGCCCTCCTAGTCCACTGTCCTCTCAGCACTTTCAAAGCAAACAGGTATGATGGTAACTGCAGGTTGAAGCTGTCAACACAAGCTAAAAACTAAGCACATCCTGGAGGATCAAAAAGGCCTTGCACCTGGAGAGAAGCTCTGCTTAACCAAAGCCCCTCAGCCTGACAACAAAGATGAAAACCTCAGCAAGTCAGCCACCCCCTCCCCAAACCCTCCTTTCCTGCCCGCAACCCTTGAACAGATATAGGTCTTCCACTCCTACAGTCCCCAGCCCCCTCCCTGTGCTCCAGTGTTCTGACTTCCAATCTGTCCCTGCTGCTTCAACCCTCCAAGGACCTGGAGTTCCCCCAGCTGGCCCAGGCTGGGCTTGGAGAACGGGCATCTTCGGCCCTCCCGTACGTAGTCTCCCTCCCACCTGGTCTGGAGGAAAACCAGACTTGACCAAGACAGCTCCCCAGTCTCACACACACTTATAGGAGACCCAGCTCACCTTGGCTGTGGAGGACGATGTCGCTATCTGAATCACCTTGGCCAGAAGGTTCTTGGGAAGCGGAAACTGGGTCAGAGCCCTAATAGCACTGTCGTCATCTGTCATTTCAAAGGAACCCCCCCTGGGAGGACCAAAAGTTTAGGTGAAAAAGCACTCTCTTCCTGGGCCAATTTCACCTGCTCTGAGACCCAGGGGCTAGGATACTGCATAGTTGCAGGAGGCTGGGGCATTTCCACTTGGCCTGTGATCCTCTCACAGACACAAAGCACACCTGGCGCTCCCTCAGTTCCCCCAAACAGATAGGAGGGTAGGGGCAGTGGGCAGGCAGAGTAGTTACTGGGCCTCTGAAGGACCCAAGTGTGAGCTGGAGAGAGGGTCCGTGCTGCTGTTTCGCAAAAGCCCAGCCATACAGTACATGGCCACAAGTGGCTTTCCCCAAGAACAGGTAGATATACCAATGAATAACAGAGACGCGGACTGAGATGTGGGGCAGGGGCCCTCCCATCTCAGAGAAGACTCCCTGGGAACACGCCCCACCCCATGTCAAGGTGCAGCCAGCTTCCCCTGCATTCCCTGCCCCTGGCTGTACCTCGAATCCCTGAGTGGGGTGTGGGAGTCCTGCTGGGCCATAGACAGAAATTCAGTGACATCAATGGTCCCCTCTTCTAGCTCTTCCTCCTCATCCTCCTCTTCCTCCCGGCCCAAGGAGCGGGATAAGCCCCCAGGTCCCCCTGGCCGGATGCTCTCAGGATTCAGCTGCCGCCAGGAAGTAGGTGGCATGGTGGGTTCTGGGCGCCACCAGCTGTCAGCCGGAGAGCCAAGGCGATCGGCTAGCACGCGGTATTTGGCTGCATCAAACAGCTCATTCCGGGGACCCAGCAGACCCCAGCCCTGGGGAAAAAAGGGGCGTTGTGAGGGCCCATACCACCCTCACACCTCAGGCTGCTCGGAACCTGCCCGGTTACACCGTAAGTCCCTCATGTGTGGGAGCCATGCTTTTTCACCTGTCTACTCACCTCAGGCCCTAGTCCAGAACTGGGCACAGAGAGAGCACTTAACATGTCTAGCTTCAACAGATGAAAATGACAAGGTAAATTCTTATAGCTATTAAGACAAAAGACCAAAGAAACAAAACAAAACAAAGAAAAACCCACAGGGCAACAAGAAGCAGATGCATTCACAAAGTGATCTAGAAAGCTTCAGTGAGTGTAGCAATTAGGATATATGTTGTCTACACCATAAAACAGCTATACCTCTGACACAAGAATCCTATGCTGGGAACATACTCTAGAAATAACACCAAACGTTTTTAAAGCCAGTTATACAAAAATATTATTTTAAAATATATTACAGTTTTATTCTTTTCTAGAGAAAATCAAATAAGACATTTGCCGAGTCTCTAGCATGTACAAAGCAACATGCTTGCCACCCTGGGCACCATCAGGAGGGATGAGACCTGATCTCTGCCCTCAAGAAGCTAAAAATCTAAGAGGCAGAAGAAAAATGCAGAAAAACAGAGTCTAAAGAACAAAAAAATAAGAAGCTAGAAGAACAAGAGTAGCACGTGAATAGAGCACAAGGTCAAGAAATTCAAGTTGGGAGTGGTAAAGACAACACGGGTAAGCCAGGCGCATCAAGAGGGTTTCAGACATTACAGCCATGTGACAGTAGATGGCAGGTGCCAGAATCCAGGCACTGCTCCACAGTGCGGCTTCAGCCACACCTGACTCGTGACAAGCCGAGGAGTGACCACTCGCTTCTTAAAACTCTCCCCTCACGGACTTCCCTGGTGGCTCAGTGGTTAAGAACCTGCCTGCCAATGCAGGGGACACAGGTTCGATCCCTGGTCTGGGAAGATCCTACATGCCGTGGAGCAAATAAGCCCACAAGCCACAACTACTGAGCCGGCGCTCTAGAGCCCAAGAGCCACAACTACTGAGCCCATGTGCTACAACGACTGAAGCCCGCACACCCAGAGCCCGTGCTCCGCAACAAGAGAAGCCACCACAAGGAGAAGCCCATGCACTGCAACAAGGAGTAGCCCCCGCTCATCACAACTAGAGAAAGCCCGTGCGCAGCAACGAAGACCCAACACAGCCAAAAATAAATAAAATTAAATCTTTAAAAAACAACAATTCTCTCCTCAGATTTCTGAAAGAACTAACTGTAATTTAAAATGTAATCAGGTAGCTAGTGGGAAGCAGCCACATAGCACAGGGAGATCAGCTCGGTGCTTTGTGTCCACCTAGAGTGGTGGGATAGGGACGGTGGAAGGGAGACGCAAGGGGGAGGAGATACGGGGATATGTGTATACATATAGCTGATTCACTGTGTTATACAGCAAAAACTAACACAACATTGTAAAGCAATTATACTCCAATAAAGATGTTAAAAAAAAAAAAAGTAATCAGGAAGGGACTTCCCTGGAGGTCCAGTGGTTAAGACTTTGCCTTCCAATGCAGGGGGTGTGGGTTTGATCCCTGGTAAGGGAGCTAAGATCCCACATGCCTCGCAGACAAAAAACCAAAACATAAAGCAGAAGCAATATTGTAACAAATTCAATAAAGACTTTAAAAATGGTCCACATCAAAAAAATCTAAAAAAAAAAATAAAATGTAATCAGGAAAATTCTATTCACAACAGCAACAATAACCATAGCCTACCTAAGATGAACTTAAAGAAATAAATTTACATATTTTTTAAAAGTATAAAACTTGGTAAAAGGACACAAAATATGGGAGTTCCTGATATGAAACTTTTTTGAGTAAAGAGACAAAAGCCTCCTAAGTTAACCCATGTAACATAACTCCAATCAAAGTCTGGATAGACTTTTTGGGCACTTGACAAATTGTCAAATTTGTGTGGAAGAACAGATGCATAACAGTAGGATTCTGTGACAGAGAATGTGAAAAGGGCACGCCACACACATCCACATGCATGAAAGCACAGCCACTCAGGGCAGGGCAGTACAGGTGCCTGGCCCAAGGCTCAGCCTCCATGCTTCTGCATCACGTCACCGCCTGCTTACAAGGACGATCTGATTATACAGGAAACACATACAGCACCCTCGCCCTTGGCCTTCCCCAGGACACCAGCATGCTTTACCTCCCTGCCTCCCACTCACAGCCCCCCACACACAAGGCCATGAGGTGTTCCTGATGATGAACACCCACCCAACCCGCTTCCCCTCCAGGGCTCCCCGTGCTGGCTCATGCTTCCCCACCAACCCGCTCTTCCTCCCTCCTCCATCTGACCAGTCACTGTCTTTTCCAGCTTTTTAATAACCCCAGAAGAAAGCTCCTGCACTGCTGCTACTGGCATTCTCACCTATCCTGTGCCCCCGTCTCTGGTCTTGCCTGACCCCACTGCTTTTGGGGACTATTCCTAAAGGCAAACTCAGCTCTGTCATTCCACCAATTACCACCAGTCAGCAGACCTAGCATCCACAGGATCAATCAAGACTCCTACCTGAGACACCTAAGGGCTTGGTGTTCTGGCTCCTGCCCACCTGTTCGCACCATCGCCAAGCACTCAGACCCACGTTCACAATCCGCTAGTTGCTCGCGTGCACCCTGGTTCCATGTCTCTGAGCCCTCTATCTGGAGTGCCCTCTCCATCCCTGTTCCTGGAAAACTTCTACTCACTCTTTAAGAATAGCCTGCTTTATTCAGGAGGCTGAGGTGCACCTCTCCCCTCATGTGGGTGCTTCCTCTCTGGGCTGTGGCTGCCCCAAGAGCACCCTCAGTCACCTTTGTGCTGTCAGCACCTCAAAACAAGCCTGAGGGCAATGCTTAAGAAACATCTAGTTTGGGAGGAAAAAAGATGAGCAAATTTGAGTACAAATATTAAGGAATGAATGGGCTACACTCTCCAGAATATATAAAGAACTCCCATAATTCAACAACAAAACGATGTGGCTAAAAAGTGGGCAAAGGACTTAAAAAGACATTTCTACAAAGAAAATACATAAATGGCCAATAAGCACAAGAAAAGATGCTCAACATCACTAATCATTAGGAAAATGCAAATCAAAACCACAATGAGATACCAACTCATACCCATTAGGATGACTACTATCAAATAAATAAATAAAATGAAAGAAAGTAACAAGTGTTAGTGAGGCTGTGGAGAAATTAGAACACTTGTGCACTGTTGGTGGGAATGTATAATAGTACACTATGGAAACAGTGTGGCAGTTCCTCAAAAAATTAAGAACAGAATTACCATATGATCTAGCAATTCCAATTCTGGGGATTAAAAGCAGGGTCTCGAAGAGGTATTTGTTCACTGCAGCCTTATTTCACAATGGCCAAAAAGTGGACCCAAGAGTCCATCAATGGATGAATGGATAAACAAAATGTGATATATACATACAATTGAATATTACTGGCCTTTACAAAGAGAGAAACTCTGACACTTGCTACAACATGAATGAACCTTGAGGACATTATGCTAAGTGACATAAACCAGTCACAAAAGGACACTGTATGATTTCACTTATGTGACGAGTAGTCAAATTCGCAGAAATAGAGAGTAGGATGGTGGCTGCCAGGGGCTGGGGGGAAGGCAGGATGGGGAGTTGTTTACTGGGTATAGAGATTCAGTTTTCCAGGATGAAGAAGTTCTAGAGACTGGGTGCTCAACAACGTGGCTGCACTTAATACTACTGAACTGTACACTTAAAAGTGGCTAAGATGCTAAATTTTATATTTTGTGTATTTTACCACAATTAAACAAACATACAAACAAAAAAGGCCATGAGCATAGATAGAGAACAGAGAACGGGCTGGGGAGGAATGTGATCACAACTTGCTGCACATGGTCTCAGTTTAAAGTGCCTTCTACATCCAGGCAGAAAAGCATCCTCACCCTCGGCACTATAGACATTTTGGACCAGGTAATTCTTTGTTGTGAGGGGCTGGCCTGTGCACTGTGGGACGTTTAGCAGCATCCCTGGCGTCATACCAGGTAGCACTCTTCTCCTTGTGGCTGCCAAAAATGTCTCTAGACATTACCAAATGTCCCCTGGGGTGCAAAATCCCCCCGAAATTGAGAACCCCTGAGGTAGAGGTGCTCTAAGGGAGATGGAGGTTTCCAAGACATTAAACACAGAAAGGATGGTTGAATTTCTGAGAGAGAAGATTTCCCCAGGCAGAAGGAGTACAGAAAAAGATGTTTACTGAGAGTGGGAGAGGAAGAGGAGCCTAGAGTGACCCAGAGACAAGGAAAGCAGGTATAACCCAGGGGCTGAAGAAAAAATGCCCCGCAGTGCCAAAGCCACAGACCATTCAAGCAGAGCAAGGACTGAGGGGAGGCTGGTGAGCCTGGCAAAGCTGCCCCAGTCAGCCAACAATCACCAGGCGCTATGAGAATGTGAAGGGAACCAGCAACCATGGCATGGGCTGTGATGCTGGAGTGGAAAGAATGCAAACCACAAGCACGGAGAGCTGTGTGCAGGGAAGCAGGGCCTGGGGAAGGGATTACAACGCTGAAGAATTTTTTTTGGCTGTGCCGCACCGCTTGCGGGATCCTAGTTCCCCCAACCAAGGATCGAACCTGTGTCCTCGGCAATGAAAGTGTGGCATCCTAACCACTGGACCGCCAGGGAATCCCCAAACACTGAAGAATTTTTGACTCTTACAGAAAAGAATCAGATGAGGAAAGATCTGAAAATTAAATAAAAGCGTGGGAGACAAGACGGAGGAGACAGAGAGGACACAGAAAAGAGAAGGGTCGTGTGGGAACCCAGGACAGGAAAAGGGACCTTGCCTCCTCAGACCCAGGAGAAGCAGTGACAATGAAGGTCTGTAGACCATGAGCGGGAGAGAAGCTGAAGGAATACAGCTTTGTCCTTGTCAAGAGCAAAGACCTAGGAATGTGAGGAAGATTCAAGGTTGGCACAGCCATGAAGGGAGCCAATTAGGGATCGAAAGAAAGGCTGGGAGCAACAATGAAGGTATAGGAAATGCTGCGCAATCAAAAACTGAGAGCAACCCACGTCCAACCACTGGGAAGTGAGAGAAGTGACTATTATTCTTCCATTGTAAGTAAGAGAGGACTATGTGGCTACAAGGAAAAACCTAAATACATGAAATAACAGGGAAAGAAAAACAGAAACCAAAATAGAAGTCTCACCATGGTGGTGTACAGAGGGAGTGTTCTCCATAAAGGGGTTCTTCTCTGTGGTTTTTGAAACCACAGAAAGTAGATAACTACAGTGGCAAGAAAATAATATTAATCTATTCCGTCACTGGCTGAAGCAAAAAAGGAACCACAAGGTGGGAAGGGCTTAGGACAGGTGAGTGGTTTGAACACCCTGCCAACCTAAACCTAGGTGCAGCTGACACCAGGAAAACCGTCACTTCAAGCAGTTCTCAGGAGGGAGGTCTGCATGGTCTTCACTAGGGGAGGGTCACCTTGAACAGCTGGCAGGCCGCAGCCGCAGCCTGCCTCTCAGCGTCGATCTTCTTGCTGCCATAGCCTTCTACCTCCACACTCTTGGGCCACTTTATGTGGAGGGTGACTTTCTGAGGAAGAGAAGAGAGAATCAGGACCCTTGCCTCTCTAGACTACAAAGTTATAACAAACCACATGGAGAATCAACAGCAAAGCTGTAGACCTCACAGCAGCAGGCCTGAGTGCAAGACAGAACCCCAATCCCATCATTAACTCCTTGGAAGGCTCAGACTCCCCCACCCTCAAGCCACTGTCCCACCTCAAGCTGTTTTGCTTCTTGAAGGTGCCATGTTCTAGCCAGAGGGCAAGGTGGGACCCATCTTTATCCTTAAAAATTTTCATTCAGAATGGTTTGCCTACATGCTTCCTGTGGGTCCCAGGACCTACAAGACTCTGGGAGCAGGAATTATCATCAGCTCTAACCCTCTACAGTTCCAGTTAGTTGGAAGGGACCAAATCCAGGGCCCAGTACAGAGGCCTATCTTACACAAGATGGGAACGTCTCACTTCACTTGCCCATGTTCCCCTTCCCTAAACCAGGCTCTTCTCCAGATTTAGCTTTGCTCTGAGATTCTCTGCTGACCATTCTCAATTCAGAAAACCCACTCTATGGCCTCCCTGACAAGAACTCTGAGAGAGAAAAGAGCAGCCAGTCTCCTTCCAGAGAATCAGACCAACATGTCTCCTTGCCACCAGCAGAGTTACCTTTTTCTTTGGTCCATTTGTGTGCACGTAGACCAATTTGTCTTTTGCATGTGAGATGCCAAGGGCTCTTCCAATCACACTGTTGAGAAGATTTTTGGGCTGTGGAAACTCTTTTAATAGGTCCCTAGAAGCTAAGAGAATAAGAACAAAAGCATTATAGTTGTGCTTTTTCTTCTAAAAACTCCATGGGGTGTGTATCAGGACAACCCTGGACTGGATACTGAGGATGTTGGCTCATGATCCCAAACCACCCAGGAGCATCTTAAAAAGGAGGGAGAATGACTTCAGGGTTTACAGGGGACAGTGGGGCTAGAGCCAATGCACGATCATCTCCTGAAAGAGAAGGGCCAACGCCCCCCACACCACAGAGGGGAACCAGCCAGGATCCTCTTCGCCACCCAAGCTCCCAACTTAACACATCAGCTACAGAAGCCTACATGGCAACAACGCCCCCAATCTGATGTCTGAAAGAACGCACTAAACAAAAAACAAAATCGACCACACACACACAGTGGAGTTCACGACAATGCAAGGCCCCTCCTAAAATAACAGACACACAACAGGGAGGGTTGGCCGTGGAGTCTGAATACCAGGCCCCAGTTCTCAACTCTACCTCAACACCGTGCAAAAGGCCACCCCAGAGCCAGATTATGTGTAGGGACACTGATTAGAGACCTCCTTAGCTTAGACATGGGCATGAGCTATTCCTCCTGGGAGTTCACTGCAGTGAACCAAGTGGAGGCGGGATACATCAAACACCGTGAGAGGTTTATTGCACTTTGGATCAATCCCAGAGCACAAATGGGTGAGATGTCCACCTAGAAGCAGCTTGTGCCAAACACAGGACTTAGACCATGAAGAAGCCTGCTGAGAGTGGCTGAAAACTAAAGGAAGAGCCCCAAAGCACCAGAGTGGACCTTCAAGAGATGCAGAGTCAGAGACCAGCAGAAGGGATGGGAAGCCTTTTCATTCTCCACCCACAGTCTCTAGCATTATAATTCAGCTCCAAAAAGTAATTTTGTAGGGGGTACATATATGCACCTGTGCACCTGCACGCATCAATCGTAAGTCACCTGGGGAGCTTCTTCACAGCACTGCCCACCCTGATCCCCACAGGGCACCTGGGAATGGCAATGATGTTAGGCAAGTCTGTATTTTGAAAAAGCTCCTCCAGGAGTTCTGCTGTAACTCTGCTGCCTGGGTTGAGGCTATTTCCTTGGAGCAGACTCCTGTGTCATCTGGCCAAGAGGGAGGATTCTGCCTGGCCCTGTCTCCCTCTAAATGTTAACTTGTAAAGCAACTGAGAGTCGAGTAGTCGAGAAACAATATGTAAGTAGACTCAAAGGGGTTCCATCCCACAGGAGGACCCAACTTTAAGTAGCCCACTAGACACACATATAACAGCAGACGTACCCTAGTACCCCCTCCAGCTCTATAGGGCAGAGGCTGGCTCTCTCTGTCCATCCTTGATGGGCATGGATGCTCTTACCAGTTTCATTTCCTGCACCATTCAGGAGGCGCCGCGCTGGGGTCCACTAGAGCAATCATTCTGTCTCTATTCGAGATTCTGAAGTCTCAGATGTATTTTGAGCTCTTTGCCTTTCTCACAACAGCGAGGATGTGCTTAACCTTGATGCTCTAACCCTTGACCACGGACCTGGCAGGAACTGGACGTTTACCTGTTTTCCCCCAACTCCCTTGTGGTACATACCTATCACCTATTGTTGCCAGGTGCAAGCGCTCCAGTCCCAGAACCTCCGCGCTTGGGGACCATTTGGGCCTGAACCGTGTGAGCTTTACAACAGCAGGGCTCCGGCCCGCCACTGAATGGTGGTCTCAGCCATACAAGAGAGGGCCCGACCCCAGCCCGCGCCCCTAGCTCTGTCATCCCCCGAACTAAAGGGCGTCGCAGCCTGGCTGCCCCTGCCCTCACCGTTCACCATGCTTCCGTCGCCTTCCTCAGGCCCGTCGGGGGCCGCCCCCGCCTCAGCGGCCGCCTTCGTGCGGTCGGGGCGGATGCAGCCTGTCGAGAGGCCGCGCGGGCGTCCCTGTCGCCCGGGGGTGTAGGGAGCCAGCGGCCGCAGGCGCGGAGAGACGCCGGCGGCCAGCGCCATGAGTCTCCTGGCGGCCGCCATCTCGCTCCCGCCCGCCCCCGCGACTCCGGAGCCCGGCAGGGACAGGGCAGAAGGGCAGGAGCGAGCGGCCCGGGCGCCGCGCGCCCCCTGCCGGATGGGCGGACCCGGGACCGAGGCGACATGGTTCCCGCCCCACGCAGCCCAGGGCCTCCAGCGCTGCACGCTCCAGTCAACCGGTGGGCCGACCAGACCAAGGCTGGAACCCTGCCGAAACCACTCCCCCAGTAAATCCAACCCACAGACTCGTCATCTGAAGCTGAGGCAGGAAGAGAGAGTGGGGCTTCTTGGGAAATAGTACAGGCCTCAGCTTAATGTCCATCCAAGGAAATGAACTTGAAGTTCCCTCTAGGTCCCACCCATTGCAGGTAAATACCTCCCACATGCCTTTGCAAATTGGCCTGCACTCCCGGCCAGCAGAGCGTAAGATCATTGCTAAGCTGGGGCACAGCCACCTCATTTAATGGCTTACAAAGTAAACCTGGTGAAGAATCTGGAGCCAGGACAGGGAAGACCTCTTGAACATAAGCAAACCAGGTTTACTCTCCAGAGCTGGAGTCAAAGATGTAAAGTACCCAACTTGGACACTATGCCCAAGAATTGAGCTGTTCCAGCAGTGAAAGTCTGAAGCTGCTGTTCTGTGCTCGTTTGAAAGCCAGATGGGATTCTGCTTCCAAACTACTACACCTGGGCTCTGGCCAGGCTCATTCCTCTTCCTCTTCTGGCACTGAGGAGCAGGGTTTGGGGTCAGGTGGGAATCAGACTGGATCTGCATGTTGGGGCAGCGGCAGTGACAGCAAGGGCCTCAAGGTCTCAATCCCTTGGAAGGAGGCCTTGGTCAGAGGTTGGCAGTGCACTTGGGGTGCAGCTGGCAGTGGGGGGCTGTTTGTTGTTTGTGTTATAATTCTAGATGTGATTCCGATGATCTCCTGAAGAGCTAGTTAAAACATTACTGGGAGCCACCCTCCCAGAGTTTCTTAGTCATTAGGTCTGGAATAGGGCCCAAGATCTGCATGTTTAACAAGTTTCCAGATAATACTGAGGTTGCTGGTCTGGGATCACATTCAGAACTGCTGGCCTATGGCAAGAACATGGGATTTGAGTCCTAACACTTGGGCTTAGCCCCAAGTCTACCACGTGTCAGCTGTGAACCTTGGGCCATTTTATTACTGGGGGAAATTAGGACAAACCTGCTCTACTCATTTGGTATGACTGTGGTTAATATAAAATGGGAATGTTTGGAAGGGGGCTTTGCAGAGTGCTCTGATAGAGATGCCTCTGCCCTCTGAGATCTGAGACAAGAGGGGACAGGTCCCTTAGAAGCAGAGCCAGAGCAAAATGGGGCAGCTTCAACTCCTGCTCCTCCATTCCCTTCTCAGTGGGTTTTTAACCAGGAAAGGGCAAAAAAGGGAAGGTGGCCCTGGCAGCAATGGTCTGACGTCACAAAGGGACATCACCATCCATGTCAAACACCCCTACCCAGATCATCCATATAGGGATAGCAAGACCCTTGGGGCAGAACATGATTTACAAAGGCTTTGAATTTGGCCAAGTGGCACTTTAATTTGCCAAAACCTAAGGCATCCACCCAGCTTCAGGAGTACTTTTCAAGGATTGTTAGCAGCCCAAATTCCCTCAAAAGAATCCAGAAGCTTAGCAAGCCGGGGAGTGGCAGCAGTAGCTGAGGCCAAATTTTGAAAATTATGGTGTCTGAAAGCTGAAGGAGGCAATAGCCTAAACCTCATCTGCAAAGCAGGGCCTGGGTCTATCTTGGTGTTTCAGGAAGCCCTCAGAATAGCACTCTGCTCTGACAGCCACTTAGGCTAAGGTTGAAATGCTATGATTTCATGGATTTGCTTCCAAAGAGGCCAAAGGGGAAAGATACACACAAAGTAAGATTGTCCATGAGCTGTTCATTGTTCAAGCCAGGTGATAGGTACATAGGGATTTACTATACTATTTTCTCTATTTTAGAAAACATATTTCAAACAGATATTTGAGATTTTATGTAAAAAAAAAAAAAGGTCAGGTGATGCCAACCAACTAGTTGGTTCTCTGAACGCTCTTTTCCTATTTCATTTACTTCATCTGGGTTCTAACAGCTGGTGTCACCTTGAGCATATATTTCACCTCTGCAGACCTCATTGCCTTTTGTAAAATGAGGGCAACTCTTAGACCAGCTCTTGGAACCATTCTGGTTCTGTGATCTCCCCATTGGTCTAGAGCAGGGGTGGCCAAAATGTAGCCTGAAGACCAAACCCACCCACTGCCTGTTTTTAAAAACAAAGTTTTATTGGAACATAGCCATACTCACTTGTTTCTGTATTATCTATTACTGCTTTCATGCTATAATGGCAGAGTTAAGGAGCTGCAAGGGAAACCATATGGCCTGCAAAGGCTGGAATGTGTACTCTCTGATCCTTAAAGAAAGTTTGCTGACTCCTGCTTTAGAGGACCTTGAAGAAAGTTAAAGAGGCTCAGGCATGCCCCTGGTTCCTTTCCACCAACATTAAGCTTTCTCTTCCACTCTCCATTCTTTGGGGAGAGAAAGTTGACTCCTCTGCCTGTGAAAAAGGAGGGAAGTTCTGAAAAAAGGAAGGGTTTACTGGCTCAGAGATCTCGCCATCACTTCTGGATCAAGCACAATGTCTGGTACTCAAAGTGCTAAACAATGACATCTAGAAGCATGGAATTAAGGTTAAAGGATCTGCTGAATACACAGGAGGATGTTGTAGGATTCTAAACTTTGGAGGCCCCAGGAAAAAGCAACAGGAGGAAGCCCAAGACAGTATGGACTTTGGGCAGACCAGAGAACTTGTGGAGGGAAAGTGAGAGGGACCACTGACAGCTGAAAAAACCAGACATCTCAGCCAAAATTCTGTCAACTTAATCACAGTTAGATATTTTATGGATGGTCAAAATGGCAAGAAATGGTCCACCTGGCTGGCAACAAGAAAGGTAAGGGGAACAAAAAAAAAGAAAGAAGAAAAAGAAAGGTAAGGGGACCTACAGGGGCTGGGTGGCCACCCTGGCCACCCGACACATTCTCACGTCTCTCCCATCCATGTATGTATAGCCCCAAGGTCCCTTGAGGTAAACCACCACACCAAGAGGTGACACGTCTATATCAGGGAATGGATAGGACCAGTCCTGTGGTCCCCAGAATCCTGCCAGAAGGCGTGTTACCCATGTTGCTTTCTTGTTGCTCTACATCTCAGATCTGCACGGGTGGGGAAGATTCGCAGGGGACGGTTGGGGGCAAGTTTCTTAATTTATTCACCCTTTACTTTGGAATGTGGCCTTGGTAAGAGGTTGGCCGTAGAGGGAAGGGTAGATTAGGAAAGGAGGTGATATTTTTTTCCAATTCCAAATCTGACTCTGATGGGCACTGAAACCTATTTAAGTGGCCACTATTTTCTGAGCATTGTTTTCCTATTTGAACACCAGAGAGATTGTTTCTGCCCTGCACCTCCTTCTTCCGGACAGAGGTACCAGCAAAGCCTGCAGGGAATCAGAAAGCATGGCAGAAAGGTCCAAGAGTCACATGGACTAAGAGATTGTTGCTTCTGTGATAAAGGAACAGAGGCAAGAAGGCTTTATAGCTTAAAAAAGAAAGAGAAGGCAAAGATGCATACACCCAGATACCTTCTGGAGGTGGAGCTGTGAGGAGACAATCAGGCTGGGGGGCAGGGGGAGGGGGGTGTCTGTCTTCCCCTGGGGAAGACAGTGCAGGTCTGTTGGGCTGCCTCAGAGGGAGCCGCTGCCCCTCCCAAGAGCAGCGGCCTTCTCCTCTGCATGTGCTCAAGGAGGCACTGCCTAGCCATGCTGCCTGGTTAATCCCAACTAACCGTCTTTAAGCTTAGCCAAAGCACATCTGACACTCTCAGAGCCACTCACCTGCCATGTTGGAAATGTTAACGTTCAGCCTTTTCGAGTTACAGGGCATTTTAAGAAAGAAAGAAAAAAGGGCAATCAACTCTTGTTTTGGCAACGGTAGGGGGTGGCATTTCTTTAATACCTAAGTCAAATGGTCACAGGGGCCAGAAGTACTTATTTCTATACTGCTGTCTACAGTCAGGGCCACTGCGGCAGGAGGGCAGTGCATGTAGAAACCACATGGGAACACGGCAGCAGTATGTGCTGCAGAAACTGAGGTGCTGTGTGTTCCCCACACCCTTCCTGAGCTCTTGACCTTCAAAGCACTTTACAGACAGAGCCTAAAGTGGACATGCTGTCTCCAAATAAGGCAAAGACTCTATGAACTATAATAGTGTTCTTCCACTAAAAAACTGAGGGAGGCGTGTGAACAGGTGGCCCATGGAGTTGGGAAGAGCAGCTGTCAGGACAAGAGGCCATCAGGAGCACTGGTCTTAGCAGACCTGGAAAAGATCTAAGTCTGAGGGAAGAGAAGAGACACTCACGGGCAGAGATGCTTCCCTGGGTCCTATTACTGGCCCCATCCCTGGGTACCAGTGGGATCTGAGGTCAGCTGTCACCTGTCAGGGAGCTCTGACATTCTCCCCAATCAAAAGGACAGCCTACCTTGCCAAATGGACTGAGAGACAGATTCTAATGTCAGTAAAGTGCTTTGAGGTGCTGGGGGAGATAGGGAAGTGATTTGTCGGGCATCCCCAAAGCCTCCAAGGTGGAGGGCACTAGGCCGAGTCAGGCTCTCTGTTCTGGCCCTGCTGCAAGTGCCCTGAACTTTCTGAGGCACCTGAGCCAGAGACTGCCTAGAAGGTCCAAGCCCTCTGATTCTCCACACTGGTGCCAGACACCCAGACTGAGCCTAGGCTTTATTCCTGGTCACACCAGGAGGCCCGATGAGACTGCAGGGTCTAAGCCAAGCGGCCAGCATCATGAAATAACCCAGACCTTTCCAAATGATGTCTCCCTGAGGGCTCCGAGAGCTCTGCTAACCCCACTACTCCTCACCCACTTTCCAGAGGCCTATAGCCCTGGCACCCGGGGTCCTGCTGCCACCCGCCTCCCCACAGTCCCTGGACCAACCTGGTGCTGGAGGCATGGCTCCTCCCTTACCTCGAGAAATGGTCCCTCCAGGGGCAGGGTTGACACACATGGGTGGAAGACGGGGTGGGGGAAGTTTGCACTGACGCTGCCTGTGCTGGGCCCGATCTGGGGAAAGAGAAAGGGCATCAGGGTGACATGTTCTCACCCCTCACAGTTACAGACCCCTGGATTGACTCACCCCAGAGCACCGTGAGGAGCTCTGGGCAGCAGAGCTGCTGGACCGTATCTGGAGCCAGTCACAGGTTCTGAGAAACAGTGCCACCAATGCCACACAGAAAGAAGGCATTGTCTTATACAGACATGATACGTGACAGCCTCGTACAGATCCCTTCTTGGCTCTCAAAAAAGCCCTCAAACTCTCCCTGTTTTTTTAGCCACCCTCCATGAGTGTAACGCCCATCCCATGTGCTTCTCTACAGTCTCATAGTACCATGCACATCACTGGGGTTCTTCCACTTATCTGTCCTCCACTTATGTAAGCTACCCCTGTATCTGCTATGGGTCCCCCATATAAGCCACCAGATCTCAAGTTATTCTCTCCCTCTAAGAACTGGTGAAAGAGGAACTAATTAACTGCTGGTGTCCTCCCCAAGAGCCAATATCAGATCTACCCTTACCAGCCTTCTCCTTCTTTCTAAAAGTTAATGATTTACTATTCCAAATATTTCCATTCATTTGGAGACTAAATACTACCCATCATGGGTACATAAAGTATATTTTTAAGGAGTTCCAAAATTTTGATATACATGAACTAAAATTAAGACACTCACTGAGTGTTCCATGGGAAGGTGAAAGTGTATGGCTAAGAAAGGTTTAAGATCTTTAAAAGCACCGAAATGGTGAAAACATCAGATAATCACTGGTCTGGGGGAAAAGATGCAAGAGCTCTCTGCTCTCTCTGCCCCACACGTTTTGGTATAATAAATGGGGCAGGAGAGAAGCAGGGAGAGACAGTCATACACATTCTACACACTTGAGCAACAGCCTGTAGTGCTAAAATGATGCCCCTTTCTATAATGCAAATTAGCTCATGTACAATTGGTAAACGGGGGAACGATATCAGTAAACATAAGAACCCTTGGTTCAAATCTGATTTTTCTAAGGCAAGGGAACTAAAAAGCAGGAGCGGAATGAAAATGTTCAGCAGGAAAAGAAAAAGCCCCTTCAGCTGTATTTTTTAAAAATTAAAATCAAGTGCCTGTAGGGAATCGAGGTGGTAGATACATGGGTGGTCACTATACAACTTCTTCAACATTTCAGTATTTCTGAAATTTTTTCATAATAAAATGTTAGGGGAAGGCAGGTACTTGCACTCAGGTCCCTTCCTCCACATTCCCAGCGGCACACACCCGTTAATGGCTGCCCCACTGGCTCAGAGCTCCACCTCCACCTGCGCTATCTCAGCAGCTGCCAGCTCCATTCTAATTAGAAGGCTCAATGTACATTTGTAGCATCCCACTGAGCTGCCTGCTTTGGTGGTCCAAACCTCCTTCCCAGGTGCCAATGACTTTTTTGTCATCTTCTGGTCATAAAGTTGCAGGTGTACAGCCTCAACTCTATTTTTCCCATAAGCCCTCTTAAAACATTGCAGGTGTGTGATTTTGCAGAAAACGTATATACTGTTACAGAAGAAATGTTGTTACTTCTGGAACAAAGTGCCTAAGATCAAGGTTATCTTGGAACTAATTCTAGCTCTGCCTTGAAGCTAAGGTTGTAAATGACCAACTCAACTTCTCCTTTCCTGTTTGAGGAAGGTCTTCATTCATATCCAAGGATGCTGGCTTGAAAAAAAGAGAATAAATGATTTGATGATTATTTTATCTCATTAAGCATTTTCAGTAACTGGGGGAAGGTTGTTACAATTCCACAACAACATCACTGAGCCCGCTTCTGACCACTGGAGCTGGAGGAAAATTGCACATTCTTGTGGTTGATACAGTATTTTTCAAAGTTTTGTGCTGACTGTAAAAGACTCAGCTCGCTCTTTGTGGCCTGATTCTGATGGCATTACAGCTAAGAGACAAGAAACCTGTGTTAAGATGCTGGCGAAGGCAATAACAGGTTACTTACCAGGCACACAAGTGTTCTAGTTGGGAGGCGTTGGCAACTCCGTTTAACTACATAATAGGAAAGATGGTAGCCCCAAGACCCAGTGGATCACCGTCCACAATGCTGCAGGGAATTGCTAGGGCCATTACCTTCAGAATCATCAAATGGCCCATTCCATTAAGATCGTAAAGCCCTGAGTGCCAGAAAGCATCTCTGAAACACAACTATCTCCACCCTAGTGGCTTGTACACAGCAGGTGCTCAATTTTGCAGCCACACAGCACACTGCATGTTGAGGCCAGGCTGTCACTCTCCAGAAAAACATGGGCTACAGGGCTGTACCCCAAATAGATCAACCTACTATCATTTATTAAAGGCCTGCCAACCCATGGCTAAGGGCTGGGGACAGACTACAGCCAAGTGCTTTTCCTATATCATCTCTGAACTTCACTATACCCCTGAAGATAGGGGCTGGGAAACAGGTAAGTTAACACCTTGTTAGTGTTAGTGGGGAACAGATTTGAACGCTAGCCAGTCCGAATCAAGCTTTATACCATGTTAAATTTTCTCTCAAGAGTCACAATGCCCTAGGGAGCTCATAATTTCACCATGAGGAACAAAGAAATACATAAAAACTCCATAAGAGATAAAGAAGTCCTATACAACAATAAAGTGTCACAAGGCCACCCATGACCAATTGCCAAGGTCATGATGCAAACCACAAAAGAGACCAGCATTCATAAGACAGGAGAAGGCATTCAGCCTTACAGCCATGAAAAGACAGGTTTGCCTGAAGGAAAATATTCAAATCAGCAACTCTTTCTGATTAATGGTTTTCCCAGAGACCTTCAAGCATAAAACGGTTCTTGGTAGAAACCCAAAACATTTACCTGTGTGGAAAGCAAGGTCCCAAATCAGACTCTGTCCGATTATTATGTCCTGAAGCTACTTAATACCATGGATTTGTGAATTTACCAGGTGTCAGGCCCTGTTCTAAACTCTTTACACATAGTAACTCATCTGATCCTTGGAACAACCCTATGCCCACTTAAACAGTAAGGAGGGAGGCACAGCGAGGCTCGGTCACCACCCAACCCTCCTTGGCCAGCGAGAGGCAGAAGTGAGATGTGAACCAGGCATCTGGGTCTGCATCTTTGGCTCAGGGAGGTCCTGCTGCCTCCCACTAAGCTGAGTGCTGACAGTGTCACCCCTGAAGGAAAACGTCTTGAAGAAATCAATTTCCAGCCTAGAAAGCAAAATCACAAATGCTAGAAAGGAATTTTGCCCCCAAAATTCTCTCATCTGATACCATTTCCCTGTCACAGGGAGGAGGAGGACTGTGATTTTATTGGGCTCTCCATCTCTTTATGAAATCAGTACTGTTAATTCAGATGCTCCCACCAGGAGACAACCTGTCTTCATCCTTTTACAACTGGGTGGACAACAAAGCCCACTGATGAGAAGATAAACACAAAGCAATTAAATGTACTTAATTTTCAGCTCAAAAAAAAAAATGTGCTATCCACACTAAACTCAAGTTCAATGTTTCCCTTTCCAGACACAGTTAACCAACACAACGAGGATGACAGATTAATTTTTTCATGCAATATGTAAACAGATCGAGTGGCTGAAGACAAACAAGGAGACAGGAAGAGGCTGCTCTGAGACCTGGAACATCCAGCCTCCTTCTGGCCCCATTCAGTGGGTTACATAGGGCACCATCTGGCCAAGGTTTTCCAGGCCTCTGCGAACATAAGT